CCCCAAAACCCCAAAACCCCAAAACCCCAAAACCCCAATGACAAATTAATAATTGAGCACATTTTTGATAGGTTCTTTAAATTAGCATCCTAGACAGCTGGAAATGCTTTCTGTGATCTAAATGATCAAGAGTCTATCTTACGTCTTGTAAATCCCCCTTCCTGTTAGTTTGATCTGAGGAATCTTCAAGTTTTTCTGTGTAAACATAGGACTATTCCTCACAATTTTCGGCACTTTCACAGAATATTTTAGAGCCTTAGCTGATATGGTATTGTTTATATTATTTTCATAAGTTCTATTATGAGTAGGCTGATGTGCTCCCATTCCTAATTGAGGGCACTTCTGGACACTCTGATGCCTTTTATTAAAGTTATTCAATTCTCTTTTTAGCTTCATTTTGTTTAAAATACTAGCTGTGTTATTAACATGAGACATCGATTTGTCTGTAAAGTATGTTTCCTCCAAACCTCTCATCCCTCCTTTAATGGGTGATGAGAAGTTAATGTAGTCATTATTTTTCCTAGCTCCATGATCAAAAGTCTTATCTGCCTTACGCATGCCATATTTTAAAAGAGCATAATCATTCACATTACTTCTTTTCATAGGTAAATTTCTTTTATGCCGATTAAAAGAGCCATTCTGAGGGTTATATTTCAATCTTGATTGCTCTAGACTCCTCCAGTTCTCACCAATTCCAGAATAATTAGCTTTATTTCGCTTTGAAATGGATCTCTTTGAGTTTTCTATTGCAAAGTATTTCATTCTAAATGGCTTCCGTCTGGCTTGGATACTCTGAATTTCCTTCACTAATTTATTATTTTTCCTTATCCTTTCTAACATTGAAATTAAGGATTCCTTTGGGCTGATTGTCACCGGTGCTGTTGTCATTTTCCTTCTATAAAAATCAGCCAAAAAGTAGTACATGTTGCTGGAGATATTCCTTGACACTAATCCGTTCCCACTTGCTCTCCACCTGGTCTAATTCAAGTAGTTTGAGACTGTTATTTTCAAGGTATGAAATTCAGTAGAACATCTCTCTCAAAATCGCATCAAACTCTTCTGCTGAGAGATCGATCAGCTCCTCTCCAACTAAGGAGATGACGTCAAATGAGAACCGTTCAAAGTTGATATAATCTTTCTTATATTCCGGCTTCTTTGTTAAGTAATAATCTGTGTTGTAGTACCGCCCATACCCTCTTTTGATTATGGGAATTATGTTATCATACACATTGTTAAAGTCTACAAATTGGAATAAGTTATACATGTGAGCGAAAGAGATGACCCATATAGAAACCTGCCAGCAAAGTTGAGGCCTTAGAGATTAAGCGATCTTACCTAATTTCTGCTTCACGCAGTTATAAATACTGATCCTTTCAGATCAAGAGTAATTCTGTTGAACGTCGAGTAACAATTTCCAGATTTTTACTAAGATCATTTGTATATTAGTATGAGCAAGCAGATCATTAATCTTAAAGCGGATGTATTTATTCTCTTTACTCAAAATATGAGCCTGCTTGAGTTTTCTCTCAGACACAGCCATGATCCCTGGAGTGCTCTGAAGTTTTATCAAATCTTCAACCACATCTTCCTCCTGTGTGTTACCAAAAGCGCCATAATTATATTTTGGCATATTTTGGTCGTCTTGTAGCGTTTTGAAACCTTCTCTTGGAGTATCTTTATAAATACCGGACATTTTCAAAGGAGATTCCTCTGGATAGGTATCTTCTATAAGGAAATATAAGTATGCAATGGCTTAGTTGCCTTCAAATATTTTCAGAAAGAAAATGAAAACATAAATGAAAGATTCATGAAGGCATTGCATATTCATAGATATTATATAGTATTTAGATTCGTTGCTTGAAATGAAAACCTTGGATATTTAGATTTTACCTATAACAGCACTTTCTTTCTTCTGTTGACCTAAATCAAACGACATTTTAAGAGATTATTTCTATATAAATAAAATATTAAGGGGTTTTGGGGTTTTGGGGTTTTGGGGTTTTGGGG